ATTTTTAATGATCAATTCTAAATATCTAAATTGTTTACTTGTTAGTATTTCTTGATTTTCAATATTAACTTTTTCACTATATCTACTTCTTTTATTACTAAAATTGCATTGCATATATTCAGTCTTACTCCTACTTATTTTAAACCATTTTGACTCGAGTATCTCTCTCCAAATTTTAGCTTATTGTTAATCCCCCTTCGAGTTTCATCTACCAATTCAATATCATCTGCAAATAGTATACACCGTGGGACATCATCTTAAATGTGCCTAGTGAGTTCATCCATTATTAGGACGAATAAGTGTGAACTTATGGCCGATCCTTGGTGTAATCCCAACATGATTGAAAATTCTTTACTTTCTCCCACATAAGACTTAATTATAGTCACAACCCCATTATACGTGTCCTTTATCAACTCAATATACCTATTCGTCACTCCTATTCTCTCAAGCACCCTCCATAATATTCATGTTATTGTCTATTATTATTTGTCAACTATTTTGTTTGTTCGGTCTACGTGGTTGAGGCTTTATAATTAGTTACTTAATTATACAATGTGAAATTTGGTACGTTCCAATGGTCGAGAAGGTTAAGTNTTTATGAAAATTTTATTTTGACATGCAAATATATGAAAATGATTGTAATAGAACTTGTATGTATCATGTTTTATGTGAAAAACTTCATTAAACATGTATTGGATGGTTGTGGAATGGATTTGATGGGATTGAAAATCAGAAACAGGTAAAATAGACAATTCTGGGAAAAACCTACCGGTAGATGTAGTCCAGTAGGAATAACCTACCAGTAGAATGTCAGTAGATCTGCGGAAGAAAAATTTCAGTAACCAAAACCTACCGGTAGGTCTTCACATTTTTTTAGAAATTGAAATCCAGTGCATCCTCTTACCGGTAGATTTTCTCAAAACTTCAAATATTTAAACTTTTTTCCTAATCTCTGTGGCACTGTTTTATCTTGATCAAGGGTCTTCTATGTGACAAAAATGACTATAAATTAATGTTTAAAGAACCACGGATGTGTGGGTACGATCTCAGTCAAGGGGTTGGTGTTGACGCGATGTCGGGTGGTGCGACAGTCACGGGTATCTTTGCGGATTGACGGGTGATCAACGGTTGACAAAGGACACCCTGGTTTTAGGGGCATCATATTTGGGGTCGGCTATATGAGTCTATCTTTGTCATTCATTTCGATCATGCGTTATACGCTCATTTAAGAGAAATTCTCACTTTTTCAAACCGATGTCTCTATCGACCTCCGTTGAATGTGATCAAACCTTCTTAATCTATTCTCTCTTAACTTATCCACAATTGGAGATACTCCTACCATTTCTCTAAAACGGTTATTTCGTATTCTATCCTTTCCAGTTTTTTCACACATCCACATCAACATTCTCATTTCTGCTACACTCATTTTGTCACTATGTTGTTTCTCAGTTGTCCAACATTCTGTCTCATACACCATTACTGTCTTTATAGTTGTTTGGTAAAACTTACCTTTCAATTTTATTGATATCCTTCTATCACATAATATACTAGAGACTTTCCTCCACTTATATCAACCGACGTTGATTCTATAAATTACATCATCTTCAATCTCCCGATCATTTTTAATGATCAATTCTAAATATCTAAATTGTTTACTTGTTAGTATTTCTTGATTTTCAATATTAACTTTTTCACTATATCTACTTCTTTTATTACTAAAATTGCATTGCATATATTCAGTCTTACTCCTACTTATTTTAAACCATTTTGACTCGAGTATCTCTCTCCAAATTTTAGCTTATTGTTAATCCCCCTTCGAGTTTCATCTACCAATTCAATATCATCTGCAAATAGTATACACCGTGGGACATCATCTTAAATGTGCCTAGTGAGTTCATCCATTATTAGGACGAATAAGTGTGAACTTATGGCCGATCCTTGGTGTAATCCCAACATGATTGAAAATTCTTTACTTTCTCCCACATAAGACTTAATTATAGTCACAACCCCATTATACGTGTCCTTTATCAACTCAATATACCTATTCGTCACTCCTATTCTCTCAAGCACCCTCCATAATATTCATGTTATTGTCTATTATTATTTGTCAACTATTTTGTTTGTTCGGTCTACGTGGTTGAGGCTTTATAATTAGTTACTTAATTATACAATGTGAAATTTGGTACGTTCCAATGGTCGAGAAGGTTAAGTTCTTTACTATGCAAACAATTGAACTTCACAAAATTTAGTGTCAAATGGACATTAGTTTTAGGTCTCTGCTTTTAATATTTTCAATTTATTCATGATATTATGTTAAGCGTCATTGATGACCTTTCTCAATACTGTAAACAAGAATAGAAGAAAAATTTTAAAAACACGACTTTCAAAGACAAAATTGAGACCAATGTGTTCACAACAAATATTATATTAAAGATTAGTTTAGCTAAAATATTTTTAGGAGTTTTCCTACAAATCATGATTTTTGAGTGTTTTAATTGTCAATGTTTATTAAGGTTGTGAGTTTTAGAAAGAGTGGTCCACCACTTTGATGGCCAATATTTTGTACATAGAATCCACATGCCACGCACGTAGGCAATAACTAGTTACTATAAAATATCAACAAAAGTGAAAAACTTTTGATTAACTATAAAAATCTTAAATAAAATAATTAATGACAATGTTATCCTTCCCATAAAGTCATAATAAAAAAAAATTAATTTCATATTTTATTTTTAAAGACTTACACAATTTTATAATTGGTGCCTTCCCTTCAGCAATTCATTACTGTAACTAATAATTCTGACCTTTGAACTGTGATTGTCTCATTTAACTGTCCTAATCCTTGATTATTTTGGTGACAAAATGTTTTCTTTATCCTCTCTCTTCATATTCTCTTCCAAATCAGTTCTGTTAACCTTCTTGCCAACACCCCCCCTCTCTCTCTATGTTGTTTATTTTCGGATGACCCCTTTCCCTCTCTCGGTTTCTTGCTCTCTCTCTTCATTCAGGAGACTGCTTTGGGTAATGATCCACGCTTTATGGATTACACATAGAGAATACTCATCTCAGCAAAACACATAAGCCTTAGTTTTGCCCAGGCAATATGGTAATGGTGGAAACAAGCACCTGGATGTATTTTTTCTTTGGGTTACAAATTCTTGTCCATTGTTATTTTTTAATTTTAGTTCATTAAGCCAACCATGTTTTTTTGCGTTTCTTTATTTTGTACTTTTTTGCAATTGGCATAATTATTTTTCTGATATTTATGTATGTAGTTGAGTGTTAAGAGTTGTTTTTTAAGATTTCTATTATACCCCTGCATCTATGCTATTTGTTTACTCCCTTAAAATGCCATTTGTTTGTGATGTTCAACTTTTGTGGGTTGTAACTTATCATTAAAGACCATTGCCTGTTTCCCTGGACCCAAAGCAGGATATATTTTACCTGTTGCTGCAAGGGGCATGGGATCTACATGGGTAAATGTAAGATGTGGTCACTAAAGGATTTTCCAAACCTTTAATTCTTGTTTGCTGAATATGCAAATTCTATGCTCCGCTGTAGAACAATGAAGTGGGGAGAACTCTCACATAAATGGAACAAAAATACCAAGTTGTAACCTCTAAAAAGCAGCAGATGAATGGGGTACTAACAAAATTAATGATTAGGTGGGTCAAACTTCATGATGGGAATTCAACAGGAAATTGATAGTATGCAAGGTGAAGTACTTCAATTTATTGATACAAGCATGCGCAAAATAAATGGGAACGACTGAGCAACCGAAATATTTGTATACAAGAAGTTCAAGCAATTGAGGATGTTTGAAAACAGTTGCCCAAAAAAAGCAAAGAATCACAGAAGCATGATACAACATGTTGGATTTTTTTTCTTGAACATGCATGTTTTATCTCTCGATTGTTTTATGAATTCAATTCTAAGATTCGTTATATTTCAATGCATTGCACTTTCCATCATTCACTCGGTGTACACTTTTGGGTTTTTTTTTTTTTTTTTTAATTTGGTTTGTATGCTATGGTTGGTTTTTGCTATGGGTGAAAATTTGGGTAAGATGTATTTTTGTATTGGGCAAGTTACAAGCTGGATGATAATTATATTAATTAGTGTGCTTATTTAGGAGCAAAAGACTTTTATTTATGTGAGGTATTGCATTATTAAGAATCGAATATTCTCACCACAAAATAGGTGATCCTTGAACCAAATCATAGAGATGTAAAAACTTAGGACTTGGAATATAATACTATGCATTATGTGCTCTTTTCTCTCCTCATTTTTAATTCACTTTTTATCGTTTAATAAATACAACATATGAAGATATTCAAATGCCCAGTCGTAATTAAATCGACAAAATAAAAATAAAAAAACTAAAATAAAAATTATAATTCCAAATAGTCCCGTGCAATGCACGTGTACACCAACTAGTATATATAAACATGTCCTTATCATGTCGTATAGTAGTCATATAAAAACTTCATGTCAACATATGAATGTCTTATTATGTCCATTCTTAGAGCAATATCTATATAATACAATAGGAAGAAAGTTAAATTTTTATCCACATCACTCAATTTTATCACATATTCAATTATTTAATATTTTATTAATTTGTAATTTAACACAATTTTTATTTTATACATTGTCCATACATAGTGTACATGTGTTGAAAAAATTGTGTCGAGTTATGCATTTTGAGAAAATTTTAATGCTATTTAAAAAAATAATAGGTAAAAATTAATTTTAAATAATGTAATTAATGAAATAAAGAAATAAAAAAATTGTTATTTAGTATAGTGGAACGTTCAAATCTTATGTTTCGTCATGCCTTCAAGCACGGATGCATGTGGTGTTGTATCCAAGCTTAGAGTCGTATTGTTATACGCACATGTAAGAAGCACGAGAACAACCAAAGATAAAGGACCATTTCCCAATACCACCAACCAAGCTTCTGACATTTAAATTAGAGCCCATTTATATGGATAAGAATTCTAAAAGCAATACTGCACCTGAGAAACGCCACCATGAACCTCTGTATCCTCTGCTTCTCCTGCAACCAGTAATACTCAATAGAAGCTCTATTATTAACATAATTCTAAAATTATTAGCATAGCAGAGACAATCACACAAAAACCAATTGAGGTAGAAAAAAAAAACCTACTTCCATTAATCCCAGCAAGGGCCAACAATCTAGAAGCCATTTCTCGATCTTCAGCGTCTTGCAGGGCTCTAGCATACAACTCATCGCTTGGAAACGCAGAAGGGTCTAATTCAACACCTAGGTTATCATTATCCTCCTCTTCAGCTTCAGCATTTGCATGCACATCAAACACATCTTCATCATCGTCTGCTTCAATACCATCATAATCCTCTTCTTCACTAGGATTATCGAAATCATCGTCATTGACCTCATGCATATAGCTTCCAACTTCCGAACTTCCATAATCACTCCCATCATCATTCATTCGCAGCATCATATATGCCCTTTCCTATTCCACAGCCGATCAAATTCACTTAATTCAATAAAAAATAAAATATCAAAACAAAAAAAAACCATGGCATATTCACTTAATTAAATAAAATATAAAAAACCAAAACAACAAAAATTTGTGCATTGCAGGCAATAGAAATGAAAATTATCAAAAAATTGAGTCATATTGAGATCAATAAATCAAAACACTACAATCCAACATTTAAATTGCTTTCCTTTCCTATTTGCTTCAAGGGGACAGCTTTCTTTTCTTTTTTCGCTAAATTTGGGGCAATCCAAAATGAGAAAAGACAAAACAAATAAAGATTCCTTATATCGCAAAATTCTCCATCAATTTTTTCTAAAAAGAAAAGATGTTTAGTTATATATCCAAACAAGATATACAAATTCCTATCCACAACTTTAACCCTAATTCACCTTCCAATGGCCAAACAAAACGTAAGCAGAAATAAAATTAGAGAAAGGGAGAGTGGATACCATTTAGGCTCATATTTCGAAAAACTATATTGAAATTAACATAAATAAATAAAGACAATCACACATATATAAACATATGCAATATACATAAATAAATATTGGTGTAAACTTCCAAATGTTTATATCTGTAATCAAGGAATATGTATTCCTAGTTTATTTGTTCTTATCAGACATTTTGAAGCCAACTTGTAGAATCGGTGCTAAAGGAAGCACAACTACCTTAAATGGACAACAAATAATATTTAGATTTATTAGACAAGCAGAAACAAAGATTTTAAAAATATGAGAGAGAGGGAAAGAAACTTGTAATCAATCAATAATGCAATTTCAGCCACTAAACCCCTATAGATAGTCAAATCCACAAAAACGCGCACACACACCCACAAACACATAGAAAGAGAAAGGCGATGAGATTAAGACCTGTTCTTGCAAAGTACGGGCGAGAGCGAGATCGGCATCGATTTGGCTGAGGTTAGTGAACGGAGTTCTTCCAGATGACCGGCTACTTTCATTATTCTCATTTCTAGTACCATTAACCACTTCAATGTTAGATTCACCTCCTCCGACCGCTTCTACTACTGTAGTTGAAGAAACATTATTGGAATTGCTAGGGTTTTCTAAGTCGTCGGCTGTGCTGCTGGTCTTCCCTTCGTTTTTGTTATCAGATTTTGAGTTCTCCATCTCTTCTCGTAGCTGCCGGCCAAAGAATTATTTTAAATAAATAGATGGATATATAGAGAAAGGGAAAGGGCTTTGCTTTGTCGTACCGGAAGCGATTTCGACTATTAAATCGGAGGCGTAGAAGAAAGCGGAAGAAGAGAGAGAAGGGGCTTGCTTTACCGTACCGAAAACAATTTCGAATAAGACATATATAGACGAAAGCAACGATGAGTGGTGGGAGGATGAGAGAAGCAACAAAGAGAGGAGTGTTGGAATTTGATTGATTACTTCCGCAAAACAATTAAATTGGGCGACAATTATATTTAGACTCTTTAACTTTATACTAGAGGCAGCAATCATTATTCATTAATCTACTTAATTCGTTTTCAAATAAATATGTCGAACATATACATATATATATATATATATATATGTCTATATCTACTCTATCGAATCTAAACTACTAATAAAAGTATTTTAGATAAAAAAAATTTAAATCTTTATTTTACCCTTATAAAAAAATTGTAAAGACTACTCAATCATTTTACGATTAAATATCTAAATTACTATCTTATCGTTATACTAGTTTATTGCATGTACCTGAAGGCGCAGTGTAATAAAAAATGGTAAACAAGAAACATATTTGTATTCATATTTAAAATCAAATCACAAATATAGAGAAGATATAAATGAATTTAAGTATCGGTTTGTAATAGGGGTAAGAGGTTGTGGGCGACAGACGACGGCGTTGGTAGTAGTGGCAGTAGCGACGGTAATGATGGTGACAGCGGCGGTGATGATGACGGTGACGGTGGTGGGGATGGGGATGGTGGCGGTGGGGCAGTGGTGGTGGCGGTGGTGGCGGCGATGATGGTGGTAAAGGCAGTGGCGGCGGTGATGACGATGGCTACAGTGGTGGTGGTGGTGGTGGTGGTGGCGATGGGGCAGTGGTGGTGGTGAGACGGTTTCAAACACTATTATTATTTTTAAGTACTTAGGAGAAATAATTTCTAAAATTACTTTTAAAAAATCACTTCAAACACATCCTTAAAGCTCTATTTTTCCTATTAAATTTAAGGTGTTAATATTAGTCATTAGATTAACTTTAAAATAAAACTTAAAGCGATATCAACCTCGAATAGCAAAAGTCATTTTATTTATTTTTGAGATTTGAATTGTAAGTTATTTATTATACATATATTTAAATCTCCAAAATAACTACAACATCTCTTTTAATTATTTATTTTCTATGTGTAAATATTTATTTTTTGATTAACTACTCTTAAAAAAATATGCATCATTATATTTTCAATAAATTGTTCGAAAAACCTGGAAAAACTTCATCTTTCTAATATTACTCATCATATATATATATATATTATTTTCATCGAAAAGTTGAACCCTTTCACTTTTAAGATAAAAAATAATTATATATATAATTTTTTATAATCAATTTATGTTATATCAATGTAATTCTTCAGTCATAATAAATTTTAGAATAAATTACACTTACACTCATTTAGATTGGTTGAATTACCGGGACAACCCCTCAATTTTCTAAAATTACACTAATACCTCATGTCAAGTCTTGTCCCTTAACAAATATAACAAAAAATGTGATTTTTCATAATTACCCTTACCATACACCATTTTGTACTTATCATCCTTGCATATATTTAAATACTAATAAATGGATCATTTTCGGATTTAATTCGTCAAACCTGAAATTGATATGGTCAACCTGTTTTTTTTAATCGTGTCAAATTTTCTCTATTTTCTCATTTGTATGTTAATACGAACAACACAGAATTGCAATGATCCATATGTTTATCTGATATTATTAAAATAAAATATTAATTATTTGTTGTTGTTTATTAAGCATTAACATAATTATTGTATAAAAAATAGATTTTTACTTATTATTATTGCTAATGTTTATTAAGTTAATTTTTAGTCTATAGAAAAAGTATGAGAATGGATTCAATTAAGTAATAATTAGAACCTTAAACTTAAATCTTAACGTTAAATTTTTTTATTTAAAGTTTATATGAGTCAACACGAATACAAATACATCTGTGCAGGTAACCCAATGATGTAGAGTTGAACCCAGACAAACCGTAGACCCAGATGTCAGGGGTTTGACTCTCGCCGGTGTCTCTCGAATTTAACTAATACCTGTAATTTGCGGGTAATTACAGATATCAGGGGTTTACTCTCGTAAGAATGGGTCCAAAGTGGCTTTACCTTGGAGAGGTCCCACGATATAAAAAAGAACATATGAATTCGAACACGATACGAAAATAAATAGGTTAATCTAATTTTATCCAAGGCTAATATGAGTATTAAAGTATAAAAAATTGATAATGTAATCACTTTTTTGACATTGTCAATAACGATGCTAACCACAAAGATTTTTTGTGAAATTGGTAGGTAAACAGTAATGGATGTTAGTGTAATTTCAAAAAATTGAGGGGTATCTCTGTAATTAGACTAATCTGCAAGAATGTCAATGTAATTTACCCTAAACTTTACTCTGTACTAAATTTTTTTTTTTATAAAAATAAATATCGTAGTATATTTTTAAGTAAAACTTGAATTCTTTAGAATTTTAAGATATTTGATAATATAAAATATATGGTAGTATATTAAATCTTATTCTAATTGACCTAACTTATTTTTAATTGCAATAAGGTTCTAATGTGATTAGTATATTAACAATTATTTTTAGTTTATTCAATAAATTATAATTAAAATCCTAATCAAATGAATTTCAAGAAATTTAATTTATCAAACATCACTAAAAAAATCAATCTTAATTACAAAATTCTAAAAATATAGGACTTTAACTATTTTTTATAGTTAGAACAAAGAATTTTGGGAATATATAAAATTTTCATAATCTTATAATAGAATATGAACAATAAAAAATTAAAATTTGTAAACTTGAGATGATATTTAATTCAGATACATATATACTTAATATATTTTATTAATTTTTGTGTACAAAAATTATTCACGTGTAATGCACGTGATGCATTCCTAGTGTATAATAAAGTACAATGCAATTTAAAATTTAAAAGATAAACAAAATGACTTTTGCTTTTTGCGGTTGAGATTTTTTTAAATTTTACTTTAAAGTTAATACAACTGCAAATATTAACACCCCAAATTTAATAGAAAAAATAGGGTCATAAGATTGTGTTCGGGGTAATTTTTTAAAAATACTTCTATTATCTGAATTTGATATTGACAAATTACATACAATTATATACGATCAACAAGTAATAAAGTGATAAGTAGAGTATTGTTCTCACAGAGATTTATTACTAATAATGTCGAAGTACTAACTTTACATCAATTCAATTTTATTTAAATAATTAGATTTGAACTATGAAATGACTAATTTAAAACTAAATATAAACTTAATAATCAAGGATTGAGTTTACCAGATAAAAGAACTTAAGATTATAACTTCCCCTAATGATTCGTATAAATCTTTCTACTCTCTTTCTAGTTAATTAATCAAAATAAGTTGTTAATTGAAAACTCAAAATTATTTATCAAACCTCTTCCGATAGTTAGATAAAATTATCTCTCTCAATTAAATTATTATATTTCTATGCAAAATAATTTGGAATAGATTCATTAAGTTCAAAGTCTCATAAAAGTTACACACGACATATAGGTGTATTCTTGTCCTATACACAACCCAGCTAAGAAGAATTAACCAGATGCATGTCATCATATTCAGATCAAAATCTAAAATTCATCTTCCAATTTCATCCAGGGAATCAAATTATTGCTAGTCACACAATCATATATTAAGCACAAAATATGATAAACAACTTATATATAATCAATAAGAATTAGAAACAAGAATAGATCAATTTTACTAAATATCAGATTCCGTTGCAATCTTAATAAAAATTTAGTTCATAAAGTAATTGAAAAATATCATTCTCAAATTAATCAACATCTTAGAAAATCAAAATATAAAGGTAAGAGAAAAGAATGAAAACTTAGTTTCAATCTTCAATCTCTCTCTAGCCTTCTAGTCCAATCTTCTTCGTGTTGCTTCCTTCGATCCTTGCCTTCAATTCACTATCAATCCTTGGTTAACCCTTTATTAGTAGGCCCTCATATTAGTATATTCTCTTCCCAACTCAAACCCTAGCATATATGTAGCATTAGGGTTCAATTACTACTAAAAAACAAGTCAAAATTTGTGTCCTGAGCCAAAACACGCATTGTAGCCCCTAAAATCAGCGCAGTTGCGTTGACTTTCTACCCTCCTAGAGCTGCAACGCTGATTCCCTTTTATGCCTAGAGCTACCCTTGTTGCTTAGTCTTCAAATAATCCAACACTTAGGCTATCAAGTAACCTTGTTTCCTTCCAAATGATGATCCCTATAAAATAACATTAAAACACACACAAAAAAAAAGGAACATAAAATACTTGAAAACTTGCAATTTTATCGAGCCAATAATACTCAATTCGTAGGTATAAAACTCACTCATCAACTTCTAGGATTTATAACTTTTCATAAGTACTTTAAAAAAAAGTAATATTTGGAATTACCACACCACCACCCACACCGCCACACCACCGTCACCACCACTACCCCTACCCCCCACCACCATCACCACTACCACTACCACTACCACTACCACCACCACACCACTGATTAATACATAAATTTAGCATATTACTATACCTTTTTAAGACTAATTATACTATGATGGAGTTTTAATGATGACATTTCAGATCCTAAAGTGAACAAGGGCTCAAGGACAACAAATATCACACTTTGATGTAACACCAGCATATTGGAGGAACAAAATTGGAGAAGCTTGGAATAAAGCAAGAACGTTTAAACGCCAACTCACGTTCAAACATCCACTTGAACTATGAGAAGACCAGACTGCTAAGACATGGCTTGTTGCAGCCAAGAACGAAGACCTTGAGGTACTTGAGTACCACGTTCGAATGGCAAATCACGTTTGAACGTCAACTTGAATTG